ACAGAAAGCAACTCATTGGACAATGGTTCTAGAGCCTAAAAGCTAACAACTCCCAACACCGCTGTTGACAGCTGCGTATCTGTCTGCGTCTCTCTCATTTCTTTCTTCTCTCGCTTCTTGTCATCAGAGTCTCTCGTCCGGAGATGCACTTTCAGCACTCTAAGCTCGTACACTGATTACAAACAAGATGTGAGCAGAGTCTTATACAGGTATTTTTGACTGTTCTTCGGCTGCTTCCTCTATTATCCATCCGCATAGCCTTTTGGCTACATTGTCGGACCTCATTGTGATATTGTGGACTGTACCTTTAAGTCGTCAAAACACTTACTGATGCCATAATTGCGTCGATGATCGAACGCTTTGCAGGAGGTTAACGACGTATTTGACATTTTCCGAGTGTAATTGATGTGCTGCAGTTTACATCGCATCTGCTATATTTCTACGGTTATTGCTTCAAACGAATCATGTAACATCTATTTTCTTGGCTTTCCTTCCCTTTATCTTTTTCACTGTCGTTGATCTCCTCAGGGGAACGATGACGTAGGCGGTCGCCGTTCTTGCCCAGGTGGCTGCTAAGGTATGAATGAAAATTCGCTCGGCACCGGAAATTTCCTTGAAGTTATGCCAGGTATCTGCCCTCTACTCGAATCGCCGAGACAACTGATGTACACTTGCTTGGCGAGCAATTTAAGAAGCAAAGCTTTTGTTTTGCTGAAGTCTTTTGAAGTGTAGGACTTTTTGGATATCGGTGCTGATTGGGGGAATACAGCAGTGGGTTGGTAATTGTCTTGCTCGGATTCTGGAAGTGCGTGTCAGTTTCAAACGAGGTAATGAGGTCGCACCTGTGGTATCGTTTGAGTGGCAGTTGCATGCTTGAGGAGATTGTGAGGTGTTAAGATGACCAGGTGGTAAAGATTATATAGGAAGGTTCTGGTAGTATGACAGAACACTTGATGCCAAGAACGTATACTCTCCTGGACCCTTCAAGCCTCGTGTTACTTTCCAGCAGTTTTCAGTTTTTGGCACAAGCTCCTTTCCAACTGCTGAACTACTACGTGGAAATGGATTTTTGGCAGCTGTAGTCGGATGTTCATGTCACGTGCATGGAATAAACATGATTTTTATGGTCAAGCAAGGCACTATGGGAGTTGGGGGGCTAGTAGCAGCTGGGTCGCGTGCCCATTAAAACTATCTCGGAGAGAAGGCTTGAGAGAGTGATACAATAAGTGCGAAGAAGGATCAGCGAGCCATGAAAGGGCACAGATAAGCCGTGCGGTATTGCGATAATTCTCCTAGCTCCAAAGAAAGCTGAAATTAGGACGTGGGCAGATGTATGTCTAGTTGGATACGGTACATTTCGCGAGTACCGCGCGCGCGACGAATTAGCTTCGGCGCGCCCGTCGTCTA